AAATTTATTTAAAAACAAAAAAAAAAAAAAAAAAAAAGCCTGCGTGAACAAGGTTCAATAGTCTCAAATATAACCCTCATAATTAGTGCTGGGATCAAGCAGATCCAATTAACATCTCCAAAAACACAAACCCCACCTGTAAATATGCTGTGTGCACTGAAAATACTTAATATTCAGTTGACTTAATATAGTAGAAATATTTTATTTTTTTATGAAAATAAAGCGCCACACAGCTGACAGAATGCTGCCTCTATTTCCTTAACAAAACGCATCTGTCCATCAATGAAGGGTATTGGTAAGGACAGTCTATGTTTTTACATATTATATTTACAGTCTATGTAAATATTTCTTAAGCCTGTTTGTTGTGTGTTCATTAACTCTGAAGTCATTTAAACAAAGTATTGCAAACATGTATAAATACATCCAAGATTTAGTTCCATTTATTAGGTTACACCGTTATAAATCTGTCATCCAGCCAGTATCATATTGTGAGAAATTATTACAGCCTCAATGGACCTTATTCAGTGTGAATGGCATTTGACGCAAATGAAAATGAGACTCTGGAATGGAAGTATATTCAGTATATTCAAAACCTGAAACAAATTTGTGTGTAAAAAACATTCGTAAGTCCCAGTTTTGTCGGAAGATATATTTTCAGTGCTTTGACTAAATTTGTTCGTAAAACCATTCTTACTTAAGTTGTCGGATTTAATGGCCTTTGAACAAACTGTGCTTCCATCTTTCACAGCCTCGTTTTCGTCCCCATCAAATGAAGTATGCCGTCTACCCTGACTAAGGTCTATTGTTTCACTCTTTAATCTATCGTTTGCTCCATTATTCACTTCACATAATTCTCTAACACGTCTCCAGAAGAGAGTAGAGAGGCCGTTATGTTTATTCATGTTGACACGGCTATTCATTATCAACACTCCTAAGCATGAATAACAGTAGCATTAAGATCAGTCAAGCTCATGAATATTCCACACCATTAAAAGTGTTGTGAAGTCATTTACCAATGGTATAATTAAGCGGACTGGCAGAAACTATGACGTGCGCACTTATGATACATCATCTGTTTGATATATTTACCTGTCTGTCATGATGAGTAAGATAAATGTGTAATAATGAAATTAATGTTCATTGCTTCATCTTTTTTCTTCATTAACACTTTTCTGTCTGTATTCAAATCACACCTAATTGTAATGACAGCAGTAACAGCAAAATTTACGCTAATGTATATGCGAAATATGCATATTTGTAAGACTAATGACATGCCAGTGAAGCCTTGGTTTGTGTCTCTGTCCCCTATTTGCCTTTTTAAGGTTTTCGAAACATCAGAGTTTGCGTCTCACCCGCTTTTCTCAGTGACTCAGGGAGGGCTGGATCTGCAGCAAGTGAGTATAATTTATCCATGACGGATAATATAGGGAGCCATGCTTCCCACTATTTCTTTATTTGCCTCTTTCACCCCTGCATGGAGATGGGAATTCTGTTCCCCTCTGTCATTCCTCTTGCCGCATGTTGCAGCCAGTGTCCTCCCCACTTGAGCAAGGGAGCGAGACTATACAGCAATTAATGTTTTTAGACATGAGATTGTTTTTCCACTTGACGTTCCATTCAGGCATGGCTTTACCCTTGACCCACTGCAATTGTATTAATTTTTGCTGAGAACTGAGTTTTGACTTGATTTTATACATTTGTGTAAACTTTACAGGTATTAAATATAGGGTGTCCCCCAAGGCTGTGGCTGCGGTCCTATTATATTTACAAACTTAAATATTTGGTAATAAAGAAATGTTTACCCCAAAACACTTACTTTTCTACATTTTCATGTAGCTCTTATACATACAATTATGAGCTCAAAAAGATGTGCACCATTTTACAAAATTTATGCATCCATATTTTGTGCGAGGAACTGACCAAAATTTAGGTTGCACTTTATTTTACAGTACGTGTACTTACATATACTTACAGTGTACTTACAATGTACCTACCTAAGAAAGTTCTGGTAATAGCTGGTAACTACATGGGGTAGGGTTAGGTTTAGGGGTAGGCTCAGGCTTAGTAACTAGTTATTACCTAGTTATTGTAATTACTATAATAAGTACATAGTATGTACATGAGGAACAGGACTGTAAAATAAAGTGCTACCAAAATTGAAGTTGATTTTTCTTCTTACTCTCCAAGTTTGCAAACAACTTTGCTTTGATGTGTATAATTTACAGTGTGGAAAAAATATCATTTTTTTAACAGTATGAGGTGCTTATCACTGACTTTTCTGTGAGAAACATTTATTCTGGATGTTACAGAGTTACAGGATACTCTGCTGCTGTGAGAAGTTAATTTGAGGATATTATGATGGTGTGAATGACTGATAATCTCTCGACTTAATGTTCAGGTCTTCTAGGCAGACTGTTATCAGTGTATATGTGCAAGTTTTACTATGAAGATTAACGGTAACAGTTGATAGCATCACCCATCTCCCATTCCCAAGTCAGCAGTTAAACACATTGGTGAAAGAATGTTTATCATAGCCTGGAGACACACAATATCAAGGCCAAGTCTGTTAAGTGTGTATTAAAAGAATATTTCCTCAAAAATTAACATTTACCGACCCTTATGTAATTGCAAATCTGTATGATTTTCGTTCTTCTGTGAAACTCAGAACAGATGTTTAACGGAATGTCTAAGCTGGTTTTATACACATAAGCGCAAATTTGTGCTCAACATTTGGTTTGTTTTTTGAGACGTGAGAACCAGTCGCATTTGTTGTCACTGTTTGCTGGCATGATGCATATAATATGCCAGGTTTGAAAATGCAGGTGGGATTGAGAGCTACGGCGGAGGGCACATATTTTCAGTAAAACAACTAAAATATGGTCTGTTCCTCATACAAAATTGTTTTATGACTTTAGAAGTTTTATGGACAAAATGTATGGCCTTTTTTTTTTTTTGGAGATTGACAATCCCTTGTCACTGTCTGCTTTCGTTGTATGGAAAACAACCGCATAAATATTACTGAAATCATCCTGTGTTTTGAGAGTGAATTAATGATGACAGAATTTAAATGTTTGGGTGAACTGTTCCTTTAAGTGTCATCCGCCTCTGACTAATGCTGATGTGAAGGCTAAAAAGGGGAACCATGTGACCTTCCAATACACACACTCTACCTCGAGAGCTGTAAGGACGAGGTGTCAGGCCCGAGCACTGACATTCTCTTAAACGAGCGAAGATAAATGCTGTCTGCCAGGAGACGGGACTGACAACATCACCACGACTCTTGCTAATGAAGGCACCACGTATGTGTGTATGTGCATAAGGATTACGCAGCGTTAAGTGGCTCAGCCAGGAGATTAATGCTTTTCTACATTATTTACGAGCGTTTTGAGCTCGGAGGACAGGAAGGAAAGAAATAAGGAAATGACTAAAATGATGAAAGCTCCGCCTCCTTTTTACTACCCTAAGTCCTTTCCCGGTAGGCACATGTATATTGCCAAGCTTTTGAAATCAAGTAATAGTTCACCCAAATGAAATTCCAGTTTATTCCCATTTTGCTACTAACCTTTTTGAAAGCTATCAGGCTCCAGAAAGAAATTGCCATTAAAGAGGTCCATATGATTTATGCACTATATTCCAAAGATTCGAATTCAAAAATAGAACAAAATTTAAGTAATCAATAATAATTTACTTAAAATCGCGATGCAATGAGAGAAGTGTCATGTCGTTTGTATTCTGATGTTCATCCAAGTGAAATGAATGATCAGACAAGAAAAAAATGTAGTGCACAGAACTCATTCTTTGCATAGGTTGTTTATTGAATGTTGAGATGTGGGTGTTGCATGCAAAAGTGGAGGAAGATGAACACAAGCTTGCATGTGCGGGTTTAAGTGGACTAAATGATTGGAGAAGTCCTGTATACGTCACAAGAGAAGTCATTTTGATTTAAACATTACAAGGTCAAAATAAAAAAAAATAAATAAAAAAACACAGATCCAACTGTGAACATGCATTTAGAAAATAGATATAGTGAATTTTCATTTCATGCCAACTTTAATCTTCTCGGCTCTCAAATCTCATTTGCATTCAAATGACATCCAGATGCACTGTCAGGTTTGAACTTAAATTGCGGACTTTGCTCACACAAAGCTGCTGTATTACTTTAGAAGTCTCGGAATGTAGTGCACGTCTTAGTTTGCGATTTTGTCCTTTTTTGAGCTTGACCTTCTAGTTTGCAAACCCCTTTTTTGTGTTCCATGGAAGCAAGTAAGCCGTATTTTCAACAATTTAAGCACAAATTTAAAAGGAAAAGGAGGACAAACAATAAAGATAGCAAAACAAAATGGGAGACTATCAGAGACATTGAAGGGTAAGGGGTGCCAGTCACGTAGCAAATTCTGAGCTCACCTCCGGAGAGAAGCTAAATCCGTCCTGACAAAGAAGGGTCATGTTTTCCTCCCAAACAATGTTTGCCTTGAGAGCTGTGACCAATCATTTTCATTAACTTGGCTACCAGAGACACAAACTAGGGTTGCTCCTCAACATAGACTGCCATTTCTGTATCACTGATCTTTTTATTTTATTTTCCATTTTATCCTCCCTCGGTTTCTCTCTCTCCTTCTCTATTCCACGTGTTTAAACTTTTAAACAGGCTTATGCAAGAGAACCTCTGGGAAGAGCATGCAGCGTTCTCTGTAGCTTTTGCGTCTGGCTATTTGGCTTCTCATTCTCTTTGATGCACAAGCCTTGATTCAGAGATCTTCTAGTTTCACATCTGTCCCCTTTAGAAAGTTTTTGAGTTATAAAGGTGGGAGGGTGATCTAGAGGGGTCAGAGACCCCCTAGTTCTGGCCTAACCAGTTGACAAGTGCCCAAATACCTTTTAAAATCAGCCAACAGTCCACAGAAGACCAGCAAACAACTCTAGGCTTGTATGTATATATCTTGTATAGATACAGTATATACCAATAATTACATATCAACTCATATTCATAATTTAGTGACTCTTCCCACTTCAATGAACAACTGTGAACCACACTGATAGTTTTCACATGTTAAGTAATTAGCCAATAACATATTGAAGTCAATGTCAACATGAAATGGCATGTGTAACCCATTTATTTTTGTGAGAAAAGAAATGTTGGGTGAAATGTTCATTTTAGAAAATTCTGGTTTTGTGTTGACTTTAAAGGCACAGAAGCACAAACTCCTTCAATGTTTAGGGTTTGTTAACGTTATTTGTGTGTTCGACGTTTCATTCGGTAACATTAGGCAGTTTTGATTTATATGCTGTTAAATATTTGGTGATCACTTCTATCACTTGTTTCCGCTTCTTCACTTGTTTTTGGATTCAGAGATTCTGTAGAAGATGCATAACACTCCTCACTATTTCTTTTCCAGGCTTATACTGTACAAAACCAATACGGCATTCCACACTCAGAGGTAAGAAGCTTTAGAGAGAACTTCTGAAAACCACCTTCATACTGTGTAACTTCCATTAGTTCAGAGTTTTTGTGAAGTAAATTAGCTTGTTTTACACTTGTGAATGAAGTATATGGTTCAATTCTCAGCTGTGTATTATGATAAGAATAATAAAACCCTTTCATCCAAATTAAATTACATTTCCCTCCATTTTTTCTTTCTCTTTTATCACAGTTGGCCAAGTTGCACCAGTTGTCCATGCAGCAGGGTCTTGCCCCCTTAGCTCAACCCACAGCCACCCAAGTTCTGTCTGGTATGTTTTGCCAAACCAGGTTTCTTTGAAGAGGAAGATAATGGTTGGGATCACAAAAATTATGGGTTAGACATTGGCTTAGACGGTAATCAACTTGTTACCACCTTGGTCACACAAACAGGATTCCCCTTTTTAATGGTTCACAGGAATCAGTAAAATGGTGTAGAGGTGATCTGACTATGTTTTCAAAGGCCAGGAACAGTGTGAATGCAAATATTAGGTTATTTTTCCACTCGGTTAAGTTTTAATCTACTTCTAATAGGTCTAAACTTCTTATAGAGAGAACTCAAAAGAACTCGAAAACACCTCATATTTACCCAGAAGCACAAGTCTGCTTTAGCAGCACTAAATCTTTGCGTACAGTGAGAGTGGATGTAACAATTCCACCTGAGAACTCAAGCTTAAGTACATGGATTCAAACAGACCTCCCAAAGATCCAGAGGCCACCCAAGTTCAAGGTAATACACCTGAGCTCCATGGAGCATACGGCACATGCAGATTACAGCTGCAAAAATGGGGCCAAGCTTTACAAGGCTCCACAGTCAGCTCCTGGGGCTTCTCAGAGCCATGACAAATGTCCAGCTAAAGAAAAAGGAGGGACTCTCTCCTTTTCTTGCTCCCTCACTTTTTTTTCCTTGCACAGAACCAGACATCCAATTATACAGCCACCCCAAGTTATTCAGTGATGTCTTTCAAGTTGTCTGAAGATTCCAAACACTTGTCAAAGGTTTTGTTGTGTAAGCCCTCTAAAGCCAACAGACTGTTGAATATTATGGTAAATAAGCACTTTCGGTGCAAATGTGAGAATCAAAAAGCCCCTTTGAGGAATTGAGTGGTCGAAAAAAATGTAATAGTTGCCCCTGCCGCTAAAACTACAAGAGCACATACTATCATGATATGGCTGGGGAATTCGATTATGTCTGAGGTAAAAAGCTCATCAGTCAAGGCAATGTTTCAGTCTATTAAATAGGCCCCTGTTGGGCTGGGAAGCACTGCTGGGTCTGGTCCTCCTGCTGAGACAGGAAGTAGATGGAAAGAGAAACAGGCTAGCTCTGTGCCAGTTATTAGCGGTTAGGTGATAGCATCCTGCTAACAGATAGGAGAACGCTACAGAGCATTAGTGGCATAAAGTTGATCCACAAAAGATAATTTTGGGTCACAAATAGGCCTATGTTCAAGCTAAAAGGCTCTTTTATAGTAGACCAATTTAAAAGGGTTATACATTTGGTACTTTGTGAGGTAACCTAGTCTAAGGGGTTGATCAGTTGGACTAGCGACTATCGGGATATGAGGGTTGAGGGTATCCTGGTAAACCACCCTGACTAAGCTAATGGGGACTTGTGATTGACCACTTTAGGCTGGTATAACCTGTTTTTTTTGTTCCAGGGTTGCAAGGATAAAGAACCTTTATGATTTACGCACCATACATAATTTCAAAAGCAATTTCAGGTAGTCCCTCCCCAAACTCATGCCATTAGTTGAGCTAATGTTGCTATGTTGATCCAATTAAACAGATTGCAATTTGGTTTGATGCCACTGGTTTGGTACAGTCCTTGTCTTTTTGAATGGTCTAAATGAGTTAAAAATTGGTTTTGGGCTGCAACTTCATCGCATCAGTGTAGAAATAACTTGAACTATTTCACTGTTCTTCCTTTGGGTTGTCATTTACAATGAACATGCAAAAGAGTAAAGGGGGAAAGAAAATGCACTGTGCATGATGGGTGAAAACAGCACATCCTAAGATTTCTCTTGTCCACATAAGTTCAGAGGAGTTTCTGTCAGATTTGGAAGAACACAAATGCTGAACAAAAAGAAAGGGAAAGAGAAAAGTAAGCAAGCAAATTATCCTATGGTTTGTTTAACTTGGTACCTATCCCTTTTCCAACAGGCATCGAGTCCAGTTCCCAGACAGCATCACAAGAACTTCTCATTCCAAATGACGTAAGTGCAAAAATGTCTTTTTTGCAAGTATCACATTACTCATGCTACTCATTGATGTTCCGTACAGCAGCACTTTTGCTTTAGTAATAATGCTTGATTATGTTTATGTTGTTTATGAAGACATTATTAAATCTTTGAGAATGGTCAGATATTTGTTTTAGACTTTAGTTAAGTGCTTTGTCTAGAAAGCCTGGTTCTTAACATTTTTGAGAGCACCTCTCATGGCACACTTTGGCCATGCAGAAATCCAGAAACTTTTTTTCTTTCAAACAGACCGACTTGTGTCTTTTTATCTGTCCACCCCCTGCTCTGCTAGAAGAGCTTCACAAGATCCAGTTCAATCCTGTCATGGCGTCTGACATGCTTGGCACTCCTCTGCTGTCAAAACAGAGATGGTAAATAAAGCCAGAGCCTTTTGTCAGAGCTCTAGGTTGTGGTACAGACCCCGCACCCCAGGGGCCAACGAGACGTTCCCTTCATGCCTGCTGACTGGGGCTCCCTCTTGCCTCCACGTCTCCCTGAGATCACAGGATTAATCGACTGGCGAAGGGCCCAGCCATGGACTCTGAGACCATACTCAATACATAATTCAGCTCCCATTGTTTTGTTATTTTAAGCCCTTATGCCAAACTAGTTATAATCTACAATTAAGGCAGCAGTTTTTAGTAAAACCAGTGCTGTTCACATATGACAAGTTTGTGTATTGTCTGACTTTCCCCATTTTCAGTGTCTCACACCAGTTAACAACAGTTTATCTTCAAAAAAAACGTATTGAGTCATTGTAGTGTACATTGACACCAGCTTCAAATAAATCTTGACTTCCTGAATGCATTCATTAGGTGCTAGACCTCATTTCTAAACCTCAGCGTACATGATAAACTTCAAAGGAACTTCACCCATTTTTCCAATCAAGGGCTAATTTAACATGCTTGTACATTCATATTCCTGCATAAAGCCATAAACAGAGCAATGGAAAGCATGTATTATTGAAATTCCCTTACAGCGATGCAATTCCAAGGCAAGGTGACATCAAACAGACATCAAACGCCTGGCAGACTAAGTTGTTTATCATTCACAATCAGGTTTCTCTCTAGAGGAGCAGTTTCTCCATGGTGAACCATCCCCTTAAATCGGCAGAAACACGTCACAATTAGATTGGGATCAGATCAGTGCTCGAGAGCAGCAGTGGCAGCAGATGCAGCTGGTCCATAACGCTACCTGTTCAGAGATTGCCCTGTGAGAGGTGGAAGAGACCATCAGTGATACCAGTTTTAGCTGGCAGGAGATGTGTCCATGCTGCCCAGACTTTCAAAACTAAGTAGATTCACCTAAAATAGACCTGTCTCCAGCTTGACTAGGGTATAAATACCTGTTTTTCGCTTCAGACAGATTTGACCCCTAGCTTGCAACTTGATTTCAATGGATACGAAGAAATCAATAAAACGGACTAAACTGAAGTTTTTGTTTGGAACTGGTAAACTTGACGGCTGGAGGAGGTTGTGTGGGTGTCAATACTTTGTTTCGTTGATATATTGCTTGAGGATGGATAATTCATAGAGTTCTAAAAATGAAGGATATCAGTGGGCAAATATGTGGTGCAGTGCAGAGGACATGCTGGAATCCTTTACGTCAGGGTGGCAGAGAGACCTGGCGGTCAACTACAAGCACTTAGCCACAATCAGCTGAGCCATTAATAGCCCCTGGGCACCAGGGAGAGCGGTGTGACGAATCAGGAGCTTTGACGTTCATATGACTCGTGAGGAAAGGAATGCTTTGTGGAGCAATTCTTGCCCACATAACCCAACTCACACTCAAAGTTGGGGTTGGGGGCTGGGATGTGGAGTGGACAAAAAGACTAGCTGTCAGTCATTTGAATGACAAACCGTTAACTCGTCCCAGTTGGGGTCACTCCACTTTATCATTGTCTAAGCTAGACAACAAGCCCTAAGGTCACCCAACCCCCTTGGTCCACTTCCTTCAGGCTGTGGACACCTTCTACAGAAGGTACAGTAACCCCATCTGGATTCATCCAGCAGGTTTTTGGTGTGCTGCACACCCTCAGATTAAAAAAAAAAACTTGATGCTGCCACAGTAGGATGAATTAGTTCACCAGCTGCTGTTGGTTTAAACTGACCGCCTGTTCGGTGGGTCAATTATCAATTATTATATGATGCAATCAAACTTATAGCAAAGTTTGGTAGTTCTGTATGTTGTTTCAGGGTTGGCATCATCTGAGGTCCTCTGAGGGGTTGGCATCACCTCTTCTCAGGTGTTCTGGATCCAGACTGAAGCTTGTGTAAATCCTAGTTACGGCAAAAACAGAGAAACAAATAGAGACATAATTAGCGTAGCTGCTGTTCCAACCAAGCAAAATTGATTTGTTTAACCCAAGCTAAAGAGTAATAATGCGCATTTGATGATATAACTGCAGTACAAGATTATGAGATGCATTATTTGAATGCTTGGCCAAAGAGATGTGTCTTTAATCTAGATTTAAACAGAGAGTTCACTTGGGCAGTAGGACTGTATACCATGTTTTATGATTTTATGGATTGCATTTGAATAAGCTCCTGGGAAATTATCTTGATGTGGAGTATGAACAACAGAGTTTATTTTCTTTAAATTGGTCATATTGTCAATGTTTATTTTGCGATTTTGTACCACGAGCAGTGTCCTATCCTGTTCCTGGAGGGCCACTGTCCCGCAGAGTTCAGTTCCAACCCCAATTAAACACTTGAACCAGTTAGTCAAGTTCTTCAGGATTTCTAGCAGGACTTTGGCCCTCCAGAAGCAGGATTGGACACCCCTGTCTTAGACGGAAATAGTGCCAAGGAATAGCTGTGTATATATATATATATATATATATATATATTTATTAAACTGATTGGTCTTTTCTTTCCTCACAGCTGATTGGTTCAATAATCGGCAGACAGGGTACAAAAATCAACGAGATTCGCCAGGTGTCAGGAGCTCAGATCAAGATCGGCAGTCAAATGGACAGCACTAGTGACCGACATGTCACCATCACAGGCTCTCCAATCAGCATCAACTTGGCCCAGTATCTAATCACATCCTGGTAAGCACTGGAAGCCATCCCAACATAACAGATCCAGGGTGTTTGAACTTAACCACGTGTTTATATGGCATATTTTACACCATAATGCTATAGAGGACCCTGAAGTAGGAGACCTTGTCAAAACCTCTGGGAATATTCAATCAGGGGCCTTTCCTTGGAAACTATGGAGTTTGCTGGCCAAAAGAAGCACTCTTGAGCAAAAGCATTCCACAACTACAAAGCAAGGAGATGTGGTAGAAAGAAGCCAGGCTGAGGGATTGGCCAAGTTTCAAGCCAGAAGCTTGTTAGAGCTTAAAGGCAGAGTATTTTGGCTGCTTCATAGAAAGACTAATTTTCTCCCACGAGATCTATGCAGTTGCAATTTGATCAAATGTTGTGTCAGGCAAGAAAGCAGTAAATTTCCTGACAGCTCGGTTCCTCAGCAAAAACTTCTCCATCAATGCTGGGGCAAAATTTCATTTACTAATGTAACAAAATTAATAGTTTTGTACTTTACCCAGGCTTATTAAAATACTTCTAACGTCAGTTCAATTAACATAAGGAATTAGCAAAACACTCATAATAAATCTGAACAATTCAAACCAATATTGTTAGTAAAGTTCAAGTCAGTGACAAAAAGACGACTCAAATTTATTCTGTGGACCCGAGCATATGCATTAATGAATAATAATGAGGAAACAGAATTGGACACCATTCCAAATGAGTGGCTTCTTTATTTATTCCCGCATTTCAGAATTGGCTAGCAAAGAAATTAAGATTTCTAACAGATGCAGTGTCGTGCAAAATAATATATTAATTCTTCTAGCATATTATGACTCAGCAAGTCGACAAGAGAGCAATAATTGGGTCTTGAATGAAATATTTATGCTTGTCTCAGGTGTGTTCAACAAGCAGACCGGTGCAGAATGTCAAACTCATTCTGAGAAGCCCCTCATTATTTTATTTGAAAAATGTTACTCAGGCATCCTGCATGGAAAAATTACTATGTTGGTTTCAAGATATTTTGAGAAAGCTTTTGTTGTTTTGTTTCTGTCTTAATATTATTGATTTTAGTGGTTTCTCATCAGTTGAATTAATATCATTTTGGTTTTTGACAAGTGACGGCAACAAATGCCGATCCCAGAGCAACCGAAGGCACTCTAGCATCAGAATACTTCCTTAATGAGTCAGCTCCATGAAGCCATTAAAAACCAAACATGATTATTCATGTCCTGGATCAAGTCTGGAGACGTCACCCCCAATCAATGTCACTCTCGAAGAATACTTCCTCAGAGACGGAAGTCTCATTTCAAATGCATTGCATCAGAGAGTTCTGCATATTGAACACACCCCTTACTTGATAATGTCCTGAGAAATCAGTTATACGCCCGCGATATACATTAATGGCAGAGCACATTTGATTACATGCATTTGTCAACATGGTACTCAGTGTAAATGCATCTTTTTGACGATTTGATAAAAGATAAAGGAAATGCTACTGAAATTGAAATCATTTTGTTTCTTTTCCCAAAGCCCCTACCCAAGCCATCACCCTGAATTAAACAGCTCCTTTCCCATGAGTGCCAAGGTCCCCCCTCAAATAATCTGTTGCAACCACCAGCAAAACACACCTCTCTTATGATTTTTTGTTTCTGTTTTTTGATTCTTTCTTTTTTTATTTATCTCAATTTTTGTTTAACATGTCTTTTATTTAACCTTCTAACCCTTTTCCATCCGGTTCCCCTCCCTTGTCCTTCCACCCTCCTCTCCTCCACCTCCTTCCTTCCCACCCTCATACAGTTTAGAGACCGCCAAATCCACTGCCCAGTCCTCCTCCATGTCGACCCCTGTAGACCTCAACATGAGCTTCACCCAGACTGCTCCCCCTGCATCGTCCTCTGCCGCAGCCCTGGCAGCGATGGGCGGCCTGCCCCACGCTCCAATCTTGGGCGCCCCCTATACCCTTCCCCTCTCCAGCCTCCTGGGAATCAAATCCGTCCCCTTCCTGGCACTCTCGGCCCCTGCTGCCCCTGCCCACAGCACCTTGGCCTCCTACACCGCCAAGATCTCCTCCGCCAATGGCATCAAGAAACCAGAGAGGCAGAAGTTTGCGCCCTACTGAAGAGGAACTACCGAGTACCTCCTTTGTTTCCGAGAAAACGACCGGAGAGGAATACTTTAAGGTTCTTCTCTTCTAGCCTGATGTAGCGGTGTATATTTTGGTTTAATAGCTTGTCCTGAAAAACTGTAGGAAAATAATCGCATAAATTTGAAAAAGGTTTTTTTTTGGGGGGGGGGCGAGGTAGCCGCTAAAGCCATAGACTATTCCTAATCTCCTATTTTCCCGAAATCTTTACACGTTTATTGTCTGCTCTTATTTATTGATAACGAAATATTCCCGCAAAGAGTTTATAACGTAGAACACTGTTGACTGATGCTAATCTCTTATGTATCAGTTTTTATACAATGATGTCTGTGAATGCTTCTGTATACAACTTCCTGATTTTTTAGAAATCTTTAAATGATGTATTAAAACAAAATATGAAAAAAAGGAAATGTTTTTAAAATGACAACAGATCTAAGCATTGTTTTTGCGTTACATTTTTACGTTTTGTTCACATTCGTTTTGAAATGTTATTTATTTTATTTATTGTGCGGAGTGTTTCTTTTACAGTTACTGTTGGTTTTCTGTAACGGCTGCAGGAAAAAAAATATCTTTTCAAATCTCTTCCATTCAATCATGGTTACAAACGTCCTGAAAAATACACGTCTAAGTAACCACAAACAAGATAGCGGTTTAAGTAGTGAGTTTCTTTACTTTCTATGGGAAGTGTATAGTGCCACGGTGAATTCTGGCGTGATTAAATATCCAAAATATGAAACCGCTAGCAAATTCATTTCAAAACTTTGGCTAGCTATGGCTGAGTATGGACAATATTGTTTCAGGGGGTTTCTTTCACCATTTCTAATGGCATAAAATGACTACTATGCATGGTGACTGCCCTTGTCGGAAACTAATGCTGTATGTTGACTTGGCCCCTCACACGTACACACTAGCAAATATAGCTAATGCGTAGGTCTCTTTGTTGATGGTGATAAAAACAGGCAGTGTTGCAGAAGAGCAATATTGGTTTGAAAATGCTAAAGTACACATATAGCAAGACCTACACATAAACATGCTTCAAGTGTAGCTACAGTAACCATTATGCTCGATCACGGAGTATATTACGTGGACTGACTTCTTTTTTTTTTTTTTTTAATATAGAAATAATCACACTTATTTTTCTAAACCTAGAGTCCTAAAAATTGAATGTGACCACTCACACGATTCACTCACTTGGTAGATGTAGTGTAACCTTGACTCGTGTTTGTCATTTTTTTCTTTATCGTAATGTTTTTGTTTTGTCTTGTTTAGATTTTCTCAAACGTCTTTCCCATACTCATTTGCATGAATTTAACTTGGCGTCTATGCAAAACATTTCGGGGGCGGTTCAGCAAGGTATCTTATGTCATGCTTCATAGATGGCCCTAAATAAACCACCGTTGGGAAAGGGCTATCAGCAAAGGCGGAACCCAAGACAAGGACAATGATGCTCTCGCAATTTATGAACCATGCTATGTATAATATATATACATAAATATATATATGTTATATTATATCCATATTTCCCATTCCAAAGCCTAACACATAACCACCCTTTCACACATTATATGAAACGACACAGTGTGGCTATGACACGCACTGTCACACTTCACCGCGATAATTCCACGATAGCCGGACATGGTTTGAAAATTGTTCAGATGCTTGAATTATCCAAGGTCTGGTTTTTGGATTCACATGAGGTTTCGTTTGTCAGCCTTGGCATAAATGCAACTCTTGTTTTAGTCTTATTCATCAATGCCATACAAAGGAATAAAAACAATACTGTATTAACGTAATCCAGTCTCTTTTGTTCTTTCTCAGCTGTGTGAAATGAAACAACATTAACATTAATAGCGGAGTGTGTGAATGCTGGGATAGTGACAATGACTAACAATTCAGTCAGTTTTGTTTTCTTTTAAAAATTGGAACTTTAGACCTGAAAAGTGTTTGAACTTAACACCTCAAATAAACCAGCGATTAAAACTAAGCCCTAATTGTACAATGTGTGTTTTATTAAAGCAATAATCCACTCAAGGCCATTACATTGCAGTGATTTTATCATGGGTAAGATGTGTTGTTAAGGTTAGCCATGACACAAAGCCCCTTAACTATGGTAAAATCAGCGTACTTTATGACCTCCAGTGCAATGTTGCTTGCATAAAATGGCAGCAACAGTAATATAAGACAAGCAATATTCATTTTCTTCACAGTAATTTTCTTTAAAATCAAATTTCTGAGTTGAAGCTTGCCAAAAGTTGATTCCAAGCAAAAAATACTGTGAATGACATAATTGAATCAGACTTCAGACACAGTAATTGCTTATAAGTATTAAAACTGTATATGTTAAGTCAGCATTACATAGAAATGCACCCCATGTATTTTCAAAATGCATCTTACAGATCTTATAGGGAACAATTGTTCTATGCAGGTTTCATTTTAAAAATATTTTTTGACCTTGTAATTTTTCATCAAAATATCATAACTTGATCTTCCGGAGAAACAACAGACTTCTCTCTGATGAATGCCATACTTCTCCAATCATTTTGTCAGCTTAAACCCTACCCCTTTCTTAAAACTGACTGCAAGCTTACATTTAGATCACATTCAGATTGCATTCAGCCAATGGATAGAACAAAGTCTATCCATCAAAGTTTTTTTTGTTTTCCCTTTCCGATAATTTGTATCACTTACATCAAAATATGTCGCTGTATGTCACACTATGTTGCTACGTTACATTGCTACTTCCTCGCAAAATATTAAGATATATACAAAAAAGTAATAGTTTGAGGAATGCGTCATGAAAGTAGACAGTCACTACTGGATTCTTTTGACGCAGCTTATATAGTAACAGCAACTTTTTGCAAGTGGTGTAGTTCTTCATTAGGAATTTGACTATTAAACATTTCAGCAAGGTATCTTATGTCATGCTTCATAGATGGCCCTAAATAAACCACCGTTGGGAAAGGGCTATCAGCAAAGGCGGAACCCAAGACAAGGACAATGATGCTCTCGCAATTTATGAACCATGCTATGTATAATATATATACATAAATATATATATGTTATATTATATCCATATTTCCCATTCCAAAGCCTAACACATAACCACCCTTTCACACATTATATGAAACGACACAGTGTGGCTATGACACGCACTGTCACACTTCACCGCGATAATTCCACGATAGCCGGACATGGTTCGAAAACTGTTCAGATGCTTGAATTATCCGAGGTCTGGTTTTTGGATTCACATGAGGTTTCGTTTGTCAGCCTTGGCATAAATGCAACTCTTGTTTTAGTCTTATTCATCAATGCCATACAAAGGAATAAAAACAATACTGTATTAACGTAATCCAGTCTCTTTTGTTCTTTCTCAGCTGTGTGAAATGAAACAACATTAACATTAATAGCGGAGTGTGTGAATGCTGGGATAGTGACAATGACTAACAATTCAGTCAGTTTTGTTTTCTTTTAAAAATTGGAACTTTAGACCTGAAAAGTGTTTGAACTTAACACCTCAAATAAACCAGCGATTAAAACTAAGCCCTAATTGTACAATGTGTGTTTTATTAAAGCAATAATCCACTCAAGGCCATTACATTGCAGTGATTTTATCATGGGTAAGATGTGTTGTTAAGGTTAGCCATGACACAAAGCCCCTTAACTATGGTAAAATCAGCGTACTTTATGACCTCCAGTGCAATGTTGCTTGCATAAAATGGCAGCAACAGTAATATAAGACAAGCAATATTCATTTTCTTCACAGTAATTTTCTTTAAAATCAAATTTCTGAGTTGAAGCTTGCCAAAAGTTGATTCCAAGCAAAAAATACTGTGAATGACATAATTGAATCAGACTTCAGACACAGTAATTGCTTATAAGTATTAAAACTGTATATGTTAAGTCAGCATTACATAGAAATGCACCCCATGTATTTTCAAAATGCATCTTACAGATCTTATAGGGAACAATTGTTCTATGCAGGTTTCATTTTAAAAATATTTTTTGACCTTGTAATTTTTCATCAAAATATCATAACTTGATCTTCCGGAGAAACAACAGACTTCTCTCTGATGAATGCCATACTTCTCCAATCATTTTGTCAGCTTAAACCCTACCCCTTTCTTAAAACTGACTGCAAGCTTACATTTAGATCACATTCAGATTGCATTCAGCCAATGGATAGAACAAAGTCTATCCATCAAAGTTTTTTTTGTTTTCCCTTTCCGATAATTTGTATCACTTACATCAAAATATGTCGCTGTATGTCACACTATGTTGCTACGTTACATTGCTACTTCCTCGCAAAATATTAAGATATATACAAAAAAGTAATAGTTTGAGGAATGCGTCATGAAAGTAGACAGTCACTACTGGATTCTTTTGACGCAGCTTATATAGTAACAGCAACTTTTTGCAAGTGGTGTAGTTCTTCATTAGGAATTTGACTATTAAACATTTTTGGTGTGTTTAAAGGGATAGTTCACCCATAAATGAAAATTGTGTCACCATTTGCTCACCCTCACATTGTTCCAAGCCTGTGTGAATTTCTACTTTCTGCTGAACACAAAAGATATTTTGAAGAATGCTGGTAAACAAACTATTTTTAGTAGCCATTGACGTCCATTGTATTTTTTTTTTTCCATATTAAGGAAATCAGTGGCTACCAGCAGCTGTTTGGTTTCCAACATTCTTCAAAATATCTTTTTAATGTTCAACAGAACAAAGAACTATTCCTTTAACGGCCGTTGAAATTACACTAAATGGTTCACTAGATGCATATATACCATCTCTAATCTCACGCTACATCTGTCATGAAAGGTTAATATGCTTACGTTAGAAATCAAATCTTCAAATAAGCTTTTCTCTGCATTCATTATGCAGTATTAATTCCAACACACAGTCATTAGAAGATTTGCCTGTTCTGTCAACATTGACATTACATTTTTACAAGGTTAGCATCCGCTCAAAAGCTAATTAAAAAGCCATTGCGCAGTGGGCTGTTAAAATAAGCAATCTAAAATAAGACATCACACTTTGTTTGAACAAGTCTCTGTTGTGTCACTCAGACGGTGTATTTTCATTTCTGAGGAAAAGCCCCTTGAGACTAGTACAGTTGAATCTCAATAGTGATAGCCAAAATTCATGTGTATAATAAACAAACTCTGCTATAATAACATGCTGACACATCAGCCGCCCTTTCTATCTTACTATCCCAGCGCAACCTGGGCCGAGAGTGGCGGTTTGCCATCACACCACCAAATGCAACGACGCCAGAGATGAAAGCAGTCTATGAATAAAGCTTACACCTCGCAGCAGCTGCTCAAACACGAACAAATTCTTGCAGGCGGGGTTTTCTGTCCCGAGCGGGTGGGGGTGTGTGTAATGACAGCCTGTTGACTGTCCATGGCCTGAGACGGATACTTTACAAGAGTAATTATGCAACGATAACTTCCTACACCCAGCGAGATCAATTATAATTTCAATTCACCAACAATTAAAGGCAATCTGGAGACAAAGCAGTTGGAAACGGAAGCCGGTAATTATATGGTGATGGCCATTTGACTGTGGTGGGAGCTCAACACCAGTGGGCTTGGCATGCGAATAAAAGCACATGCTCTGTGCCATGTACTTGGGGTAAAAAAAAAACATAAAATTGGACTTGAATTCAGAGGAAACTGAAATTCATTTCAGCCCATTCAACAGAAACTAGAGTGCATTTTTAGCCTAAAGCTATTCATAATTATTTAGGGCCACTGTGACCTTCGCCAGAGGCAATGCAAAAGCCTGTAAAATATTCTGAACGTAAAAAGAAAAATGGAGAAAGAGAAAACTGCAATAGCAAACAAAACATCCAGTTTTCATCATGAAAACGTTCTTGAGATGATGGATTATTTCCCCTATACACCTGGATTTGCCCTTGGCAGTGTTGTATTAACATTATAGTATTTTGAATTAGGTTTTATTTTTATATTTTCAGTTCTCATTTTACTTTATATATATTTTCCTCAGCTTTTTATTCAAGTAGGTGCTTCAACATATTTCAGTTGTTTATTTCAGATTCAGTATTTTCATTTGATATCTATTTCAGTTTTATTTAAGTTAACTTTCAGTTCGTTTTAAGTTAACAAGAACACTGGCCCTTCGTTACCAAGTTGTAGTATACCATCAAGTCTGATTTAAAGAGGCACAACTACCACTTTCTGGCCCATAATCTTATATTTTAAAGGCAAAGTGTGTAATTTCTGCACCACCAGAATTGAATTGCAAAAATAATGACCGCTCCCCTCATCATACATTGGTCAGGCAAACAAACAGCCCCGCCCATATTGTAATTAATATTCATGAGCCAAACAGAATCTCACAGTTTATGTAATGAACAGCCAACAAAAAGTAAACTTACTGAGGAAAGATGTAAACAAGAAGACTAATCTTATACAAAAAGATGCACAATTTTCACAATGTTTTAGGCCTAATTATTAAACTTTTATGACAAAAACACAATCTCAGTCAAGTGTATCCATTGCAGCGAGACATTAACACCTTACTGTCAGACCTGATCATTCCTACTGACACCCTTGATGAAATCGCAAAACTGTCACAACGATTCTGTTACTGTAATATACTTCATGTCATTTTCATTGTGAACATGGTCTGGTTCATCGCAAAATTAAAGGTTTGTATAATTGCTTACATTTCTCCAAGATCAAAAAAAGAAGATCAAAGGCGATGAAGTGGTTTAGTAATTAATTTTTTGGTGACCTGTTAATGATTTGAGTGTATTTTTGCAGTGTGGTGATGTGACTCAAACAGGTATGCAGAGCACACAGTTCAAATCTTGAGTAAAGAGGAAAGTGGGATTTATATGGCAAACCAATTATTTAATACGTTTGAAGATGACTTTTGTTTTCAGTGTTTGCAATAATTATTAATATTTGAGAGGTAAACATTTTATAAAAAAACAAAGCGACTTTCTCATTAAAGATTTTTCTTTCCTGTTAAGATTTAAGCTAAATAAGATGTCTTTGATATGACCCTTTAGGCAAAAAAAAAATATTTTACGCAACTTCAAAGTTGGCATGGAATTTAAATCAATCAATGAAATGAAATGACATATCTATTTTGTAAATGCATATTATAGGTCTTGCAAATGATTCGCCCAGGTATGTACATTTTTTACTTTTATTTATTTATTTGTTTATCTATCTATCTATCTATCTATCTCTATATATATATTACCTTATATAATGTTTAATCCACAGTTCATGTTCAATGCCCACATTTCAAAATTCAATCAACAGCCAATGGATAGAACCAAGTCTCCATCCTGTTTTTTTTTTTTGTTTTTTTTGCCCAATAATCCATTGAACTCACAATACGGGAGTTCCTTTCTCTTTGGAGTGTTACAAGGTCTTGGTGCATAAAGAAGATCTGTAAAGTTGCAAAGACTAAAGTCTCAAATCCAAAGAGATATTCTTTATAAAAGTTAAGAGTCAGCCACGTCTACCTAAAACGGCTCGTTCTAACACGCCCCCACATATCTACCTCACTATGTGGGAAGATTTGCATAACGCCGCCCAAATGTTCACGCAAGGAAAGAAGGCGTAACTTTTATTCTCGCTGCAGTATTGTTGCTGCCGCCGCCGCCTACACCAAATACACAAAATAATGTTCGTTTTAGCAACATCATATGACCCCTTTAATGAAATTACTCGAAATTGTATTTATTTATTTATTTCTAGTCTTACATTTAAACTTATAATGTTGGGCCCCACAAAAAAAAATCCATTATAAGTGCATTACTGCAAAAGTATATATATATATATTTTTTTTTTTTAGATAGTCACCAAGACAACATTTCTCATTTTTATTTAGTTTCCCTTGATGTACCAAAGCAACTAAAACAAATAAAAATGAATAAGAACTATAAATATTTACAAAAAAAGAAAGAAAAGAAAAAAGACACTAAAAATGACAAAACACACAACAAAATTACTAAAACTTGAACTAAAATTCAAATGAAAACAAAAAATGTAAACATTTTAATTAATGTAACATTAATAAAAAAAAAAAAGTTTCTCAATGATACTAAAATATCACTGCCGAGAAACATGACAAAATCACAGTATATATTTTGTCAGCATGTGCCAGACAAAAAACAAAACAAAAACAAAAATAAATAAATAAATAAAATCAACAAAAAAGACTATTTTAAGGCAGAAGTGTTTATTGACCAAGACAACTGGGCATTGAATATGAATATGCATGTAATACATTAACTGAGCATTCTCCAAATAAAGGTCAACACAGTCTTATGACACAAATATAGGTTTTTCAATGAGTAATTCTTAC